AACGACTTTGTCTCTTAATTTAGAGACAAAGTCGTTATATTATAATGCCTGGGATGCCTGGCCATGAATGGTTTTAAGGATAAAAAGAAATCAAAATGGCCATGAAGTAAGGAATAAGAAACTATGTAAATACTTAACACCTGTATTCATATCTATATTTATTGATCTATTAAGTTGAAATTGTATAATGAAAGAAATGTGTCTATAAGAAAGATGAGGAGGAAATGTAAAAGATGTCTTGGTGTTGATGCATAAAGTTTTATGTTTTGAAATTTTGAAAACTAAATAAAATTTACTAAATTTTTAAAAAGAAAAGGAATTTGATGCACAGAAAAAAACAAAAAAAAAATGACTTCGACTATGTGTTCAGAATGGTCAAACAAGTGGCAGCTTCAAATCTCAACAAACAACCGCTCTGTCTTATTTATATTGCCAAAATAAACCAGAAAATAAAATACAAGCTGAATAGTCAAGACCTTGTTGATCCCAACTATGTCAAGGACTTTGGAGTTCTCATCTCTAATGATCTCAGTCAGTGGTGGCTAACCTTTTTCAGCTCCCATGCCTATAATTGTGCGCACTCCTATGCCAATACCCAGAAGGCAATGCGTGCTGGCCCACCCCCATGCCCCTTGCGCATGTGCGTGCGCCCCCCTCGCGTACCATGCATCTGCGCATGCATCTGTATATGTCCGCATGATTGCCCCCTCGTGTGCCGTGCGTCTTTGTGCATGTGCACGTGACTCCCTCACTCTCAGTGCATCAGCACATGCGCACGCTTTGCCCCTCACATGCAGCATGTCTGCGCATGCGTGCATGATCCCCTCGCATGCAGTGCATCCCTGCACATGCACACTTGATCCCCTTGCGCACAGCAGATCCCTGCGCATGTGCGCGTGTCTCCCACGCACCCTCTCTGCCCTCTGTGCATGTGAACCAGATACCCGACAATCAGCTGTCGGGAGGCAGCACGTGCGTGCATGCGCAGTGGGGCTCTTCCGGGCGACCTTTCGCGTGCCGGGGGAAATGGCTCTGCGTGCCACTTCCGGCACGCGTGGTATAGGTTCACCAACACGGATCTAAGTGTTAGAGCCCACTGTAACTACATAGCCAAAAAGGCATTAAGAGTTGTTAACCTAATCCTGCGTAGCTTTTTCTCCGGTAATATCGCACTACTAACTGCAGCGTACAAAATATTTGCTAGACCAATACTCAAATACAGCTCATCAGTCTGGAACCCACATCATGTATCTGATATTAACACAGTTGAGAAAGTCCAGAAATATTTCACAAGAAGAGTTCTCCACTCCTCTACTTGTAGCAGAATACCTTATGCCACCAGACTTGAAATTTTAAAACTAAACAACCGAGAACAGTGATGTTGAACCTTTTCGGCACCGAGTGCTCAAACCGGAAGATGTGTGCATGCGTGTGTGTGCATGTCTGTGCGCATGCCAGAGTGCTGTAAAAGTGAAGACCAGCTTGCCAGTGCGCGCATGCCTGTTCTTTGGCCGTTTTTGTGGCATTTTTGGGGTGTTTTCCAAAAACGGCCCCAAAAATGGTCCGGTTTTTTAATTTTTTTCCAGCTGTTTAATGGCACTCTGATACCCACAAAGACCATCTGGCCAGCATGCATGTGCCAGAAACCAGAAGAGCAGCTGGAGATGGTGCGCATGCTTACTGAGAGGTCTCTGTGTGCCACCTCTGGCACACATGCCATAGGTTCGCCATCATGGACCTAGAACTACTCCACCTTCGGTCCGAGCTAAGTGTAGTACATAAAATTATCTATTGCAATGTCCTACCCATCAATGAATACTTCAGCTTCAACCACAACAATACAAGAGCACGCAATAGATATAAACACAAGGTAAACCTCCCCAAACTTGATTGCAGGAAATATGACTTCAGCAACAGAGTGGTCAATGTCTGGAATACTCTACCTGACTCTGTGGTTTTTTCCCCAAACCCCAAAAACTTTAACCTTAAGACTGTCTACTATTGACCTCACCCCTTTCCTAAGAGGCCTGTAGGGGGCGTGCATAAGCGCACCATCTTGCCTACCGTCCCTGTCCTATTGTTTCTTTTATTTTTCTTATATGTATCCATTTCATGTATCCATAACTATGTTTATACTTATACTTATTATCTTGTAAACAATTGGCAAATCAAATAAATAAATAAATAAATAAAATAAATTTCTAATAAATAAATAAATAAAAATAAATAAATCAAAGTTCAGGTGCTTGGAAAATCTCTTTATCATAGCATCATCGTTTGGAATTTCTTTTGTTTTCCAAGTTTGGGCAAATAGTATTCTTGCTGCTGTCATTCCATGTAGATGTCTGCTTTGCTAAGGTTCTCTTTTATTATTCCTAATAAGGTTTTTCAGTGAGCTGAATTAGATAGTTTGACACTAGAATTGAAAGAACAAGATTTAATCAGAATACTATAAAGTATGGAACAAATTCTACCTACAGAGGACATGAAAGGAAGTTCATGAAATTAGAATTGAAGGTGAAATAGGAATGAGGTATAAGAATAAGATTAAAAATGGTACAAAGCCTAAATGTAAATATGTATGTATGTGTGTGTATATATTTGTAGATTTTCACGGGTACAGGTATGTAGGTCTAGGTGTGTTTGGGTCTTTTCCCGTGTAAGATTAAGAGTATCTTGGTGACGTTTTGGCGAGGTCCCACTCGCCATCCTCAGGCTGGTACTTTCGGCTTCGTGCCAGTGCAAGCTGCGTGCACTGGCACAAAGCCGAAAGCACCAGCCTGAGGATGGCGAGTGGGACCTCGCTGAAATGTCGCCAAGATACTCTTAATCTTATACGGGGAAAGACCCGAACACACCTAGACCTACATATATATGTATGTATGTATTTAAATGTTTATATTTTCTTTTGATCTTTTCTAGTGTCAAATGTAAAGACTGAAATGTATGTCAAAGAAAGTCCACCATGTTCAATATTTTTAATGTTTATTTTCAATAAAAAAATATTTAAAAAGTTCAGGTGCTTGGCATCTGGACTCATATTTATGACCTTTGGGGGGCCCCGGGGTCCTGGGATCTCCCTTTCGCCACCTTCTGACAAGCATAGGCCATTGGGAAGCTGGGTTCACTGAATGATCGTGCTGCTAACTTAACGATGGCAGTGATTTCACTTAGCGACTGGGGCGAGAAACGCCGTGAAATGGGAGCAATGCTCTCCTAATATACGTCTCACTTAAATTTTGGGCTCAATTGTGGTCGTATGTCGAGGACTGGCTGCACTAGCCGTTTTTAAATGGGGAGGCTGAAAGAGTAATTGTGTTCGAGTGCTTCTACAGGGTGTCCTCGGCTTACAACAGATTGTTTAGTGACCATTCGAAGTGGCAAGGCAGTGATTTATGATGGTTTTTCACACTTACGACCCCTTTAGCATCTCCACAATCAAAATTCAGAACACTTGGCACAACTGACTCACTGTCATGCCCCTGTTAGAATCTGACTCCGAGGGAGAGGAGGAACAGCCGATAGGGAGTGGGAGTGTGGCTCCGGAGGTTGTGAAGGAAACTGAGGAAGGGCAGAGGCTGGCTGAGTAGTCAGAGGAGGACCCAGGCCCATCCCCTCTTCATCCTAGGGCACGCAGGGATGAGCGGATAAGGGAGAAACGTGAATGGGGTGGTCTACAGGGGAGGAAAGGGCCCTGATCCCCTTCATGGGCTGCAGCTGTGAGGACTGTTTAAAAGGACAAACTGCGCATGGGCCAGTGCTGGAAGCAAAGCGTGAAAATATTTCTAGTTTGTCCATTCTTATCTGAGTTCTGGCATCCTTCCCAACGTGTATATTTCAATATCTGGACATCTTCAAGCCTTTATCCTGCCTTGTCTCCTTAATTGCTTCAGTGTGGTTTGTGTTGTTTTTTCTATTTATAATTTATATGTATTTTGAGTTTGAATGGAATTCCTTCCTTTTCGCAACTGTTTGTGGGGGAGTTTTTTCTCCAGTCAGTGATAATTGGACCTTTGAAGCCAAGTTGAAGGAATTAAAGGGACTTCTTCTGTTTTTGTGACTTGGTTGCTTTTGTGTCCCACCCGGGGTCATCACACCCACATTTATGATGGTTGCCATGTCCCAGGCTCACCTGATCCCCTTTTGCGACCTTCTGAAAAAGCCAAATCAATGGGGGAATCCAGATTCCCTTAACAATCATGTTACTAACTTAGCAACTGCGATGATTCACTTAACAATTTCAGCGAGAAAGGTCGTAAAATGGGGCAAAACTCACTTTAACAAGTGTCTCCCTTAGCAATGGAAACAGAAAGGGCAGTCATAAGTCAAGGACTACCTGTACTGTATTACAGCCTTTTACTGGGGGGGGGAATCTACCTGTGACGTGACTACTACGTCTGTTTGCCACTAAATCATGGGGAGCAT